GTTATTATGTTGTCACCACAATGTAATGATGAAAACAATAGTAATATTGTAATAGTAATACACAAACGTAATTTCTAGGAGAGAGGGTTGGCCACCAGGAGGAGTATGACAGCAGGCTTTTCATCTCACCCTCCAGTGTGACCATTCAACCTCTTCTAAGCCACAGTATGTTGTACAACCTAGTTCTTTTGAAGGATACTGAGAGCTTATGCTCAGAGGCAGACCCAGTGGAGAAATCGTGCCTGGCTACCCTAGCTACCTCCCCAGTTTGGTGTCAAATGCTGTCAAATTTAACACATTAATTTAGATTCATTTAAAAAAAGAACGTGTTAAAAATGGATATAATTGAATGATCTGTTATGGCCACAGTTTAGACTAACGTTTAAAGCTGCAGTAGACAATTTTTATTAAAATGTGTTTTGTCATATTTTCTGAAAGGTATCCTGACAGTAGTACATGAGACATATAATCTGTAAAAAAGAAAATCAGGTTCCTCTGGCTCCTCCTACACTGTAAGAAAAGATACACCATATCTACTCAATAAAAATGAGGCAACAGATTATAAGCAATATCAACTTTCAAATTTCACAATGTTTGGTATTGAGTAAATATTAATTAAATGAGACCCTTAAAAGTTATCCATTTAATATGAGTAGATTCAAATAGAAAACAGTACAGAATTAATTATAACCTAAACAAAAATATTGAGTTGATTTGAAAAAAATAACTCCTTAATGTGTAAATAGTACTAATAAAAATGTATTTAATTGAATAATAATCATCTACATTAATCTGCACATTGATTTGAATTTAATCAATGCAATGAATTAAATCTAAATATTCTTCTTTCTTAGGAATAACTATGGCCCAGAAAGTACAGAACTTAACAAATACTTAAATAAGAATTTTATTAACAATTCACTTTTGTGCTTTCGACACATTGTAGCACATCAGTGTACACTGCAACCACAGTCTCATTTCAAGCCAGAAGTTGGATCTTGCATTTCAAACCAGACATTTGGAAAGGACAGAACGCTGACTTCAAACTATTTTGTAAAAACAAAAATAAATGCCATATTACAGAATGGTGATGTGTCCATAAACATGTGTTTCCATGCTTTCTCACCTTACTTAACCACTAAATTGGATCAATGATGACCTTAAAGAAAAATCCTCCAGAAGTGCATGTACCAAAACAAAAGCAGAAGTGTAATTTGTATGGAGTAAAAAACATTTCATACTTTGAACTAACCACAATAGAAATGTCATTGACATTCGTGGGACAAATCAGTGCTAACTTACAAACATAGCACTTTCAAATGTGCAATTCTCAAGCTCTGTAGAAGCTGGACATTGTGTAGCACAAAAGTTTGCACTTTTGGACTTCCACGCCCTCTATGACGATTCCAATGTTCTTTGGCCTGTTGCTCCAAGCTCCTCTCCTGTGGAACCAGCTTCCAGTTGTGGTTCGGGAGGCAGACACCCTCTCCACATTCAAGAGTAGGCTTAAGACATTCCTCTTTGATAAAGCTTATAGTTAGGGCTGGATCAGGTGAGTCCTGAACCATCCCTTAGTTATGCTGCTATAGGCCTAGACTATCGGGGGATTTCCCATGATGCACTGAGCTCCTCTCTTCCTCTCTCTTTCTGCACTCATTCATGTTCCATTAATGCATGTTACTAACTTCACTTCTTCCCCGGAGTTCTTGTGCTTTCTCGTCTCACAGGTTCTCATGGATCCTGGTGGAGCCTCCTGCCATGGTCCTGCTTGACCCCCACTGCTAATATCACTGATATTATTGTTATTATTATTATAAGTATTATTATTGCTACGGTTACTGTTGTTGCTGTTGTGACTGCTCATTGTCCCCCATCGTTGCTGTTGTCATGTTCATCATCATCAGTCACTTCTAGTGTAGTTGTTGCTACTGTTGTGTCTGTCTGTCTGTCTGTGTGTCTCTCTCTCTCTCTCTCTCTCTCTCTCTCTCTCTCTCTCTCTATCCCAACCTAGAGCCGAAGGATCTGTCCTAGGTTTCTGCCTTTTAACAGGCAGTTTTTCCTTGCCCTTGTCGCCAAGGTCTTGCTCATGGTGGTACTGTTGGGTCTCTGTAAATAATGTTATAAAGAGTTCGGTCTAGACCTGCTCTATTTGAAAAGTGTCCTGAGATAACTTCTGTTATGAATTGGCGCTATACAAATAAAATTGAATTGAATTGAATTGCTTGTAGAAGCTCCAGGCTTTGGGGTCACAGTAATGGCCATTATGAGCTGTTCAAGTTCCTCCAAGTTCGCAGTGACAAATGTGTGCGAAGGGCACTTAATGTTTTAAAGGAGCATGGACAATCATAATCAAGACAAGGTACCGAATTTCCAATCTCAAATGTCCTGTGCTGTAGTCTGTAATGCTGCAGAAGATCACCCCTTGTTGTCGCTCTGAATCCACAGACTTTACACTGCCATCTCATTTGGCGGCCCCTTGGAACACAAAGTTTTAGATATGAGAAGTGCCTTTCAATTTCACATTTCTACAGATGAAAATCATCCCCTTGTGAAAATTAAATGAATTCATGCAAAATATTTACCTATTTATAGAGCCTGGATTTTTTAATGAGGGAAAAGGAGTTGATGTCATTTTAAGGATTTTAATGATATAATTTAACTTATTTTGTGGAAAAACTTTATAATGTCCGCTGAAGGCGCCAAAAGTACAGAAGTACAGCCACTAAGTCTAAAGTCATGCAGAACTCCCCAATAAAAATACACAAATTGAAATAAGCCTTCAGGACGAGCAACATGATGATAAAGAATAAAGTAACGGTAGGGGCCACTGTTTGATTCGGCAACTATTTTGTGGGTAAATGTGGACTTATTTCGGTAAAAATTTAACTTAAATGACTAGTTCGGCGGCCGGCTCACGAAACTCCAACTATCAAACTAAACACCGCTAATCAGATATGAAACAGTTTTCTGTTACTAAAATGTTTTCAGAAACATTTAGTGTACGGTTTATCTGTAAAATGAGAACGTTTGTGCCATGTTAAGCTTCCTCCCCTCCTGCTAACGTTACGTTAAGTGCTGTGGACGGACATTAGTTACCACACAAAAATGAACAGATTTATGCATGAAAAGAAATCAAATTACAGCTCTAAAACGTAGCACTGTTAATAGACTGACTTCACGTGTGTTTAGGTAAGTTACCTTCACATTTGCAAGTTGCAACAAAACAGCGAAACAACAGAGAGAAGTTACGTTACCTGCCCGGGAAGACGAGCTCCACACACAGGAAGTAAAGCCAACGGAAGGGCGGCAAGTGCTTCCAGATAACCCCCAATATTTCTCTTTATGGAAATGTGTCTAACCTTAACATTAAACCCAATGTACTTTTTCACAATTTCATAAAAACATACTGAGGATATAGCAACACGCAAAGGACGTAGGAACCATGATATGCTAATGCTAACCCGCATCCTTCAAAATAAAAGCTTGACTTTGATACATATGAATTCTTCCAAAATGTATAATGCTGTGTTCATATTGTAGTGCAACAAAATCACACTACTACATTAATACATAGCCTTGCCAACAGAAGCCAACTTTGTGTTGCTGCTGAGTCTCTTTTTCTGTGATAGCTCATTTTATATTGTAATATACCACTACACGCGTTCTTCATACTAGCCCAGTGATAACAAAAGAAGTTTTCTTACCTTAGTCAACCAGTTACATTTTGCAAGATGAGCAATGTTCACTGTCTGTTCTCTCTTCAAATGTCCTGTGGCTAGATGATAGCCTGCTGCATTTAAAAAAAGGCGCACTTTGACAGGGAGTGCTTTTCAATTAAAATTTGCCTGATTACATTAATTTGAATTCACTCAATTTTCTCTCTATTTGGGATTAGATAAATATAATGCTTATGTTTTATTTAACTACAATGGGTGGATTTTATTACAAACATTTTTATTTGAACTTTAATTAAATATTTGCAAAAACACCATACATTAATTCAAATCTACATGACCACAGAATCATTTCTTACAGTGTAGTGCTCCTAATGGTATTTGCAAGAATCCACCGGGCCTGAATGAAAACAACCAATCAGAGCCAAGACAGATAGTTGATTGCTGAGTCTCATTCCTGGGGCGTCAAATACATAATTAATAATAATTTGGGACCCTGAGAATGAGACTCAAACAATGAACTATTTTCAAATCTCCAAAGCATCTTTATATCTTTCTAGGCTCTAATTGGTTGTTTTAGTTCAGGCCCAGAATGGAAATATTTTATTTTCAAGATTTAGAAATAAAACAGTGTATTGATTTCTAATGCCACCTTTAGATATTTCTATTCACTTCTTTACTAATGTGTCACAATAGTGTTGAGTAAGAGTTCAAATATAATCAATGGGGGGCTTTTCCAATCAAAGATTGATATATTGTTTATATACTGATTGTTTCAGATTAAATCAGCAGATATTTCTGCCACCTCTTAAAGTCTCAATGCCACCCTCTGGACACCCCATAAATATTTCTCTAGATCTGCCCCTGCTTATGCTACCTGGCCCAGACCAGGAAAAACAGCATACTGTGTCTTATTACTGTTAATTACTTGAACTGCATCAGTATTGTCTAACCCTGAATATTTGCCAGTTTCATGCCAATAAACTCAGTGAACTGAACTGAAGCTGAGCGAGGGATGAAGTGTGGGAGAGTGATCACAGTCTCTCTCACACACACACACACACACACACACACACCTCCCTCCCTCTCTCTTTCTCTCTCTCGCTCTCTCTCTCTCTCTCACGCACACGTACACCTCCCTCTCTCTCTCACACACACACAGACACACACACACACACACACACACACTCTGAAACAGACTCTTAGCTCTCACCAATCTAGCTCAAACCCTTCACCCCCTCCCCTCCCTCTCTCTCTCTCTGTGGCAGTCCCTCGGCCCTCCCACTCATTCTCCCTCCCTCCATCCCTCCTCCCTCTCTCCTCCCTCCTCCTCAGAGGAGCAGCTCTGTCTCTCTCTGCACTTGTCTCCTCAGTCAAGGAGAAACTAATTGGAGGAAAGAATAGAAGAAAGGAGCTGTTGGAAAACTAAACGAACCAAAACTTTACTTCTCTACAGCATGCCACAGAAAGGTAAGCTTGCTCTCTCCTTTCTCTCTCTCTCTCTCCCCCTCTCTGTCTCATCTCTCCCTCCATCAGCCGGAACGTGGAGTTAAAAAGTTCACAGTTTGTTCAGCAGATGAGGACAAAATGAAGACGAGTTGGTGATGTGGAACAAGACTTAGAAAGAAAGGGGAGACAAAAATGTTTGTATTGTAATAATTTAGCAGCTTTGAGAATGAGAGGAAAAGAGGATGACAGAGGAAACAGATTTCAGGTTTGAAGAATGGAGTGACAAAAAAGGACAGTTTTGCATCACTCCTTCTGCCTCTTTGGTTTGTTTTACGAAGCAAATAGAAAAGGAAGAGGAGGTAGAAAGTAGAAGTTTTGATTTCATCGTCCTTAAATGATGGAACTGATTATGTCTCAGTTGCATTATTGATAAATTCAAGATTTCCTATCAAAATGTAAAATTAACGAATGCTTATGTTTATGTTTATGGGATATGCTGAAGTCAGCCTGAATGGCAGGGTCCGCCATGAGAGAAAAGTACAAATAAAAAATCAATCGCTGCTTTGTCCAATCCTCTTTCCATAACATTGGCATTGGCAGCCATGTATAAAAAAAATAATTAATTAATTAGTTAATATGGGGATTCTTAGTCCTGTAACTGAACTGAACTGGCCTCAGAAATATACAATTTTGTTGTATCTGCAACTTAAAAAGTTCTTAAAATATATCAGGTACAAACTCAGTCACTGACATCACTGCGTGTGTCTTTCCCGGCTCGAGGCCGGAGGGCAGCGCTTGTTTTCGGGTTTACGTTGCCCCGCCAATCCCGGGTACACTGACAGACACAAGCGAGGACAGACAAAAAACAAAACAAACAAACAAACAACCCTAAAAGCAGCCGCTTTGACGCTCGTGCTGAGAGCGCGTGGTGATGCCGCGCGCTCATTCAACAGGGACTGATGCGGATTAACCGTCAACTCATTCTCGTCCGGGTTGTACCGGCCGGGCAGGAGGAACCCGGACCGCGTTCAGTAAGGTTTGTGAAAGCTCCGCGTGAGGAAGCGGAGGAAAAGTGGGCGCGTGCTTGTGTATGCGAGCTACTTTTATAATTACGTACGTACGTAAATAATTCAAAACAGCGGGTATATTCCCTGCTGCACTGTCCTTTGAGTCAGATTCTTTTAAATCTATTTGTTTGTCTATAAAGTTGTTTGACTATTGCTATGACAAGTTTGAGGAATGTCTGTCATGTCCTAAGCTGACCTTGTCTTTCAGGGACCATTTGTTACACTGAACATGGCAAAATTCACATTTTACAACTGGCACGAAATCAGCCCAACAAATAATAAAAAAAAACAACAACAACAAAAAACCCTTCAAGTAAAGACTGTTCTTAAACTCATTTTCAAATATTGTGGACCAGCCAGTCACTTTGTGGTTAAGAACATTATGAAACATCCAAATTGATTATCTTAAATGTTATATGTAGACAATGGAATGAAGAATGTAATTCAGTTATTTTTTAAGTAACTCATTCATTTAAAGCCATCATTTGTAACCTTAAAGAGCTTCATATTTTATTAGACAGCAAACAAAGATTTTGTTTCTAACTGACAAACACAAAATAATAATTCCTACAAACGCAGTTCAGCTGATTTAAACCTATAAATGAACAGAGAAGGCCTTCCATTATTGTAAGTTGTTCTTTATGAAGGCCTACAATGAAAATAAGTGAAAGGCCCGCACGGTGTTCAATATCCTGCATGTGTCGGAATCACATTCATAAACGGCTATAGATCAGAAAATGCTCCCGGTGTGATATAAAACATGCTGTTTGGAGTTTTTAAAATGCAAAGCCGGCATATACAAGACGATAAAGTCCGTCTTAATTGATGATCTAATTAAGCCAGCTGTTAATTAACGTCTTAATTAAATCCGAGCCAATTAACTGCATGATTAATCAGGTCAGAATGAATTCATCCAACATGTGAATTTCAGTTTTTGCGTGCGCGTGTGGGAGGGATGGGGACACATGTTCGGATGGAGAGATTTACTGCACGTCCACAAACGCCTCTGTATCTACCTTACTTTTAATTTCTGACCATATAGCGCAGCAGTGCCAGCCAGCATGTTAGTATGTTTTATTATAATCCAGAAATCAGAATTGATGCCTTTATTTTGACATTTCCCCATTGTATTTGAGTGACATTAGAAGCTGATATTTGTCTTCATCTGTAACATTTATTTCTTCATGGGTACTAAAAAACAAAATGTTATCAAATACTTAAATTACAATATATATGATGTTGGAAGCATCAGCAACAACGTTTAAAACTTCATTAAAATAAGTAGGGGCGGATCTAAAGAAATATTCATAGGGTGTCCAGAGGATGGCATGAAGACTTTAAGGGCAATTCAAATCAATTCAATTTTATTCAATTCATAACAGAAGTTATCTCAGGACACTTTTCAAATAGAGCAGGTCTAGACCGAATTCCTTATAACATTAATTACAGAGACCCAACAGTACCACCATGAGCAAGACCTTGGTGATGGCGGCAAGGAAAAACTGCCTTTTCCTGAATGCTGATTCACATCATATTCATATTCACTTGGCCCCAACTTAAGACATATATATATATATATTACATTATTTTGGCACATTATAGTAAAGCATTTAATAAAATATCTAAAGGTGACTAGGCTATATCTAAATCAGACCTGTCTTTTCCTGATGAACTTAAAGCTGCAGTAGGTAACTTTTGTAACAATAACCTTTTGTCATATTTGCTGTAACTTTCACTGTAACCTGACAGTAGAACAGGAGACAGATAAAAAATCTGCTTCCTCTGGCTCCTCCTTGTGCTACTAATGGTATTTACAAGAATCCACCGGACCTGAACGAAAACAACCAATCAGAGTCAAGAAATATGTGAAGACGCTTTGGGTTGACAGTTTTCCAAATACAAATTCTTTTTTCTTTGAACTTAGTCTAAAATGTGGCCATAACAGATCATTAGATAATTTTAATCTAAATTAATGTGTTAAATTGAACCTTTTAATCGCGACTGGGCTGTAACAACAGCGCATAAGCCGCAAATAGAGCTGGACTTTATTCCACCATTGTTTTTGTACTTTATGTAAAAAGTTGTTTCCCCAGTGATTTTTTTTTTTTTTTTTTTTTGTCTGTGGTTGCCTGAACCTTTTCTACTATTACAGTAAAAGGTACTGTTGAGTATTAATCTATATTTTACCATATAAACACAAGTTTTTACAATCAAAAGAAAAGTTTTGCCATATGAAAATACTATATGAATGCTATGACAGTGTGCAGTTTACAGTCTGTAATATAAAAATCCACTTTAATCCGTATAAATTCCTTCCTATATATAAAGGTTTTGCCATGAGATATCACAGTGTTTTACTGTTACAGAATTTTTATAACCTATTTGGAGTTTATGGTCTCTCACCGTAAAATCTACCGACATTTTTTACAGTGTTGATAATGCAACTTGGTTTAATTCTGTTCACTATTTATTCAGTAGAACTTAATTCTACAGATTTATGCCTACCAATGTATAATTATATCATTTTCAGCGGCAGCAGTAACATTAACTCAAACTGTCAGTGTATACTGAATTATTACAATTTTAAAACAAAACATATTGCTTTTCCTCCTCACTTCATTATTATTATTATTATTATTATTATTATTATTGCACATGCAGTGGGACAGCCTGAGATAAACCAGCAGCAGTGTCTCGGCAGCAGCTCTGTGTCTCTCGGCTCTTTTCTACTCATATCAGCGCGCTGAATGCTGCTGAATGAAACTTTTATATTGTCATCAGTGTGTTCAACAGAACTCCTTTATGTCAGTTGCACTGGTCAAATTGGGCTCCCCGCCGCGGTTTTGTGTCGCGGGTTTTTTAACGAGCCGCAGCTAACGAGGCAACGACACCAAAATCCCGCGGACACACAAAGGCCGGCGGGTATTTACCGAGCAGAGCCGCAGCTCCGCTCCTCCGGCTCTTTGTCTCCTTTCACTGGGAGAAAGGCGCTGAGTTATAGCGGGGACAAGGTGCCTATAGCCGGGCCGGTGTGTGTGTGTGTGTGTGTGTGTGTGTGTGTGTGTGTGTGTGTATTTGTTCCTGTGTGGAGCTGCTTCATGTTCATTATGCAGGTTGTTAATGACAAGAGCTTCAGAGAAGGGGCTGCTTTGAAGCCTTTATTGGTTAGCTTTTTATAAGCCAACCTAAAGAGGCTTTGGTTGAGAATATAGGGATAATGAATGTCATGTGCTTTCTTTCTACATGCATTAATGACAACAGATTTTTTTCTTTTAAACTGCTCATCTTGGTATGCCTCATCATCCTTCCATAGCAGTGCACTTTATTGGTGGCAGTTATATTTATCAATATATGTGTTTTGGTCTATTGAGGGCATATTGAAAACAGGGTTCCTGGCCAGAACCGAACTGGGGTCTGGGCACTCACACTTTAACCATTCCACTAGGACACCCTTACTTAATTATCAGTATTTCTGAATTATTTATAAATTGCGCAAAATTCTGCATCATTGTTAATTATTATAACTTAATTCTACAAACAGCCTCATTTAGCAGTAACTCAGTTTGAGCTATTTTATATGGAGAGCCAAATTGTTCATAATCCAAGTTAGAGGATATTAAATGACTAATCATATGAACAAAAACAGACAAAATAAATGTTTTACTTCATTATAGTAGTTTTTTATTTCAAATGTTCTATGTTCATGTTTTATTTAATTCTACAAACAATATAATTTAGCAGGAACTCAGTGCTGCTTTCCTCCCTTTTTAATCACACTGATATGGAGAGCCAAACTGCTCATAATTGAATTGAACAAATTCAATTCAATTGAACAAATAAGACGATATTAACTGACTAATCACGTGAACAGACAAAACAAACAATACAACCAGGCAATTGTAAAACTGCTCATTATAATGAAATAGTATTTTATCCTAGGTATATATTTTTAAGGTCATTTTTGCTTCAGTGGGGCTTTTTTTCCCATGTCTGTTTTTTATTTCACAACAATAATGAATAATTTCAAGCTTATATTATTCAGGCTATGTTGTTTGTATCTGCATATGATTATTTATGTAATTTTGAACACTTCGGGTGCAATTTCAGGACCAAATTGGCTGCAATCCTTCCTATTCTTTTGTCAGAGCACGTTATTGGGTGTCTCTGAGGCTCCGTAAATGTCTGTGGATATGAAGCGTTTAAAGATATCAGTCCTGTTTGGTTGTGTTCGATCTGACTCGGTGTGGCTCCTGCTGATCACATCGGCATCTTTCGATATTCAACTCCTGCATTATGTTTGTTAAAAAAAAACATGTGTTCTGACTGTCTTCCCACCATCTAATGTGGATAAAGTTACTTGTCACTATTATTTGTTGTTGTTTATATTTCTACTTGCAACATACCCTCCCTGATTTTTGGGGGGTTTTTAAAGATTTTTTTTTTTCTGGCCTTTTCATGCCTTTATTTGATAGAGACAGCGTATCGACAGGAAGGGGGGTAGAGAGGGGGGTCGGATTCGAACCCAGGCTGCTGCAGCAACTCCGTATATGGGTCACCAGCTCTACTGACTGAGCTAACCAGGCGCCCCCTGATTTTTTAATATTGTACAACAACTGTGCTCAAAATCCCACAATGTGTTTTTATCTCCCTGTTAATGATCACAGGTTAATTTCAATTCATCTGGAGGCTTTATGTATATTCTGTGAAGAAATGGTTCAGCTGCATACGTAGAAACACGTGAGTGCATTTCTTCAGCAGGAGTGAACAGCTTGTGACTGATAAACAAAAGCAATCCTCAAAATGGTCAGATCTGTTACAATACAGTAAAATAAGAGAGCAACAGTTTTATGTGTATAAATATATAAAAACAAACCTTTCACCGTGTTGGATGTGTTAGTTTGGGACAGCACACTGGACCCACGTGTGAGAGCCTGACTCCCAGAGTGGGACTTAAGTCTGTGCTCATAACTTTATGGACATTAGCATACATTAGCATATGAACCAATCACTGGATGGTTTGGCATTCAGCCATTCTGTCCAGACAGTGTCTAGGCCTTTTTTTACCCATCTCAACATTTTTTCCATCTGATCTTTCTGGCTGCTGCAGACAAGAACTGACCTGTGGAGATCCAAGAGGATACTTTGATTACTCACTGATTCTGTCCAGGGAGAGATGTGTGTGGTGTTTTGCCTATGAATGTCCTGTGCATTATAACAATGTCAAAAAAATATTTCTCTATTTGTGCAGATTTCAGAAGTCAAACAAGCTGGGAGACCGGTGTGGCCTCCATGATGCAAAACAGTGAGTCACATCTCTAAAGTATATGTTGTTTAAATGTGTTTTAGATCTTACTGTATCTATAGCTAGAAGTGTGAATAATTCTCATCAAAACCAGGGTTAACAAATAAGACAAAACTATTTTTTAATAATGCATTGATATACCAATCCAGATAAAATATTCTGAATGAGAACTACTGCTAGTGGCTTAGGTCAAATAAAATCAAACCTCAACAAAAACAACTTCCTTGAGTTGGTAAGCAAAGGCAGAAGATTCTTAAAGACAAAATTCAATTCAATTCAATTCAATTTTATTTGTATAGTGCCAATTCATAACAGAAGTTATCTCAGGACACTTTTCAAATAGAGCAGGTCTAGACCGAACTCTTTATAACATTAATTACAGAGACCCAACAGTACTGCCATGAGCAAGCACTTGGCAACAAGGGCAAGGAAAAACTGCCTGTTAAAAGGCAGAAACCTAGGACAGATCCTTCGGCTCTAGGTGGGTGGTCGTCTGTCTCGACCAGTTGGGGTGAGAGAGAGAGAGAGAGAGAGACAGACAGACAGGTGCACAGCAACAACAGTATTGGCAATGGCAATCTAGCAGGACCATGGCAGGAGGCTCCACCAGGATCAATAAAAAAAACAAAAGTCAAACAATAGCATAGCTCCAACATTCAAAACTGGAACCTCTGTACATCTGGCCACATCTGTAATTCTGTTAGTGATGCTTTCTGCTGCTGTAAAATATTTGTTAACACTAAAGTTTCTGGTTTATTACAGCTTGAATATTAAAGCAGCTATAATTGATATTTTTATGATGACAGTGTATCATAAAGCAGGAAAAGCTGTACATTGCCCTCCACTCAGAAATATCTTCCTTCTTGTTTGAGCTTGACTGTGCAGAATGCTGTCTGTGCAGAGTTTGACTCTAGAAGGATGTTTTCACATTCATCTGTTGAAAGTGGAAAGTTTCTCTGTGCTCATTGAAAATCTGATTTTAAGGGGCGGGGCCTACCAGCATGATTTGTGACATCACAAATAGTCTGGAAGTCAGTCCTGGTCCAGTATCAACTTGTACAAAGTGATGTAGAAACTTGAAGCCACCAGTGCACATCCACTGAGAATGGACTTTACAGTGAAGTAGGAGACATCTTGTGTCCAGCAGCAAAACTTTAGAAATCAACAACATTTGCATATTCAGAGATACTGGATTTCTTAATGAGGTAGAAGGAGGAGATTAATGTGGAAATTATACTTTATTTGAGGGCCCCACTTTGGGAAGCCTTGCTGTAAACAGACACAAAAAAAACCCAACCTCAAACTCACCAACCTATCAAACCTCACAGGATAGGAGCACAGTGAAGACCTGAACACAAGCTATATTCACAGACTCTTTGCTCTCTGCTCAACAGCCTCATATTAGAAAAGAAGTCAGTTAGAACTGAGAGTCAAAAATGAGAAAATCTATTTAGACAGAGAATTGTATAAGTTACAGGAAAACTAATCTCTGATCAATGTTCACTGGAAATAATCTACTAAAAATTCATGCAATTGTACAGTTTATCAGTTGTTTTCTACTGTCATTGTTATTATTGAATATAGTATGAAACATTCATAAAATATGTCACTTAGTCAGTTTACTTAGTGATTTTAAATTTTGCAACACAATAATCCAGTAGAGACCAAAAGTATTGATATGATATTTCAATATTGATTTACAATGTGTGCACAGTAACCATGCTGATGTAACTGTATCTTTAATAGCTGACTGGCCCCTTGCCTTAGTTATAATTGTATGTCCTAACTAGTTAGGTTATGTCCCAAGTATTCGTGGTACAACCAATTTTAATACTTTTAACTCTCATTTTTATCAGTAATTATAACTCACCAAGTTAACAGCTGACATTTAGGAAAACGGCAATATCACTTAAAAAGGTCTATGGGGCAAGAAACAGGACCAGTCAGAAATTTGTTGCCACTGTGGACTTTGTTGCAGTGATGATGTTCTTTGGTGAATAGTGTTATAATCACTGATGCACTGTAAGACCTAATAGCCTATCTTGATAAAAGAAGTAAGTTAACCAAACCCTCAAAAAATTTGCAGTCCATTGAATTATTTTCTTTAATTTGACTTTATATCATTTATATAAAGTATCATTGATATAAAGTCAAAGCTGTATAGCTCAGGATTATTTAATTTTCGTTTTTATTTCAGTTTATAAATCATCTTATGCCCAAGTACGCATCCAAATGAATCTTAATAATCCTACACAGTGTGAAGATTTGACCATAAAAAGCAAATGATCATTGATTTATTGTAAATTGTAAATTGTTCCTTAAACAGTTTGAGTCAGAATAACTCATGTAATGTAGAAAGGATGGACAAAAATAAGGCCCAAGTTGTCATTACTCTCTAATGATTGGTGTAAAACACAGATCTTCCATCAATAACACCAAGTCTTTACTCATGAATGTGAATGTAGACACGCATCAAAGTCACTGATTGGACCCTTCATTGTAAATTATGATGAGTTGAGTCAAAATGCTGGGCAGGGTATAAGACAATGAACTCCACCTTGATTTCTTCTTTCTTACTGCGGGACAAGAGGTCCACGCTCTCTGCAGTGAAGGTGTGTGGATTACTTCTCTCTGTGTGTCTTTGCTTGTTTTGTTGTCCTGCATCTCTCCTCTGACCAGTACCAATCCCACACTGCACTGCTGCTACCCCTCGCATCCATCTCACTCTGGGTGTTACAGGATGATGCTGCTTGACATCAGATTTTAGCCAGGTTTCTGTTGGGGCATTAACACTGGGTTAAATGTCAGACTGCTGTTATCACATCATCAGCAATTTAATAAATTCTAATTCCAAATAGTGAAAATGGAGCAGCTGGAGGTTGGATTGCTGAGGAGTAAGTGAAGGTGAACACCAATATTAATTTGCTAAGATCATTAGTGAATGAAGCACAGGTTACATTAGGAATTGGTTGAAATGAAAGTGGGTTCAGTCAGTCTGCAGTGTGCCATTCAGCATCTAACTCTATTTTCATATGTGTGAGTCTCTGCATGTGTGTGTGTGTGTGTGTGTGTGTGTGTGTGTGTGTGTGTGTGTGTGTGTGTGTGTGTGTGTGTGTGTGTGTGTGTGTGTGTGTGTGTGTGTGTGTGTGTACAGTATGCCAGAGGCATTTTATACGCATAATGAAATCTGATTATAAGGAATGACCAGGATTTACTAGCCCGTTCTCACTCCCAACTTGTCAAGGGTTAGGGTTACTGCTACTTGGTCAGTGGCTCTCCACTTCAAAATATGTCACTGTAGGTATCCCATAGCTTTTTTTACAGACACACCAGTCTAGTGTGATGTTTTTATGTGCTGTAAAAGTCGGGTTACAAAGAAAGCAAACAAAGCATAAAGAGTGAGAAAATTCACATGTGAAGCAGATTCAATCTAGTTTTTTATATATATAATAGGATGTGAAGGCCAGAACCGTCCAACAGAGTCCACTTATTTTGCGAGGATAGGGGGCTGTAACATACATTCAGCACTATTAGCTAACGTGACAAGTCCCTCACTAGCTGCCCAAGCAAACAACATTCTTTCACATAGACTTTATAAATATGCTGGAAAGTCATTTTGGCATATGCAACATGAATTGATTGTGTGTTGTGTTGTGCAAAAATATTGGAATGGCTGTGTAACATATTTGTGATTGGCCCCAGTGCAAATATTTTTCTTGTGCCCTCCACCCCTCACCCCAAAAAGCATGCTCATGTACACATGGGCGTATAGACACACAATGACTCCACGCAATCACTAACCTGCAGCCTTTGCTCCACAGACATCAGACAAATTGTCAAATCTATCAACTCAAATCTACCAGCCTGCCCTGGACTCCAACCACCACAGCCTGCAGTCTGACACTATCAAACAACTAAAATAGCTTTAGCCAGCCTACAGTAACAAATCAACACAAATTAGCTTAGCATTCAAGAAAAGCACAGCAAAGTCATAAACAACACTGTTCAAGCCCACATTCCTGCTCTGCTGTTCTCTACTGAGAGTATAGCCAATCCTCTTCTTGTCCCATGCTGCTCGTGCTACTAGTCCCTGCTCAACACGATATGTGAAGGAGCGAAAGGGCCCACCCACAGACACTAGGCAATTGTCACTGTCCCTTGTGGGCCCTTATAATCAGCTGGGCCCCAGTGCATTATTAGTCTGTTTTCAAATTTTTTCCCCATAATGTTAAAAGATAAACGGAAGTGTTGTCTGTACAGCCATTTCCTTCCTTCTCCAATTTTATCGACTTTGTCTAAAAATATTCTCTCTGCTAACAGCACATGCATTTATTCATTTTAATGTAATGTGTGATTTAAACTAGACAAATTATGAATCTCCGCTAACCTTACTGAAGCAGTCATTTTAACCCAACCTAACCATATACCATGAATCTCGGTCAGTTAAAAGCAGGGTCTCAATTAGAAGCAGGTCTCCCTTACTAACCTGGTGTGGTCACACATTTTGACAAATAATGGCAGGTCTCAATTACAGGCCCGGTCTGGATTTTATATAAGTTCTTTGGACGTATAAAACCACTTCTCCCTCTCGTTCTAACCTCTGGTTTGTAACCTGGTTCTCTCTGACTCTGCAAATGGAGAGAAAAACATATGCAGTCTGCTAACGCTATCTCGACCAACAGATTAGGTTTTTACCATTACCTCACTAATCGTAGCAAAGATGCTCGCTAAAGTCAGGAAATAAAGTTTATTTTTGTTCATTTTACAGAAACCATCAGTACCAAATGATCAGATGATCAAATGCATGGTTCCCAATTTATATATTATTCATTAGAAGTAATATTCATACTAGTTTAAATAGATAGATAGATAGATAGATAGATAGATAGATAGATAGATAGATAGATAGATAGATAGATAGATAGATAGATAGAACTGATGAACAGTTTTATAGAATTTTCCATCTTTTCAGAGCAAGAGTTATGTGCAAAAGGCCTGTGCCATATAGAGGCCTGTCCCAAATAAAGGCAGGTTGAGTGACTGAAGTAAATAAAAGCAAGGGCTATTAATAGAAGTTTTACAGTAATTTTTATGCCTAAATCTAATCAAACCGTAACCACAGTGTGGTCACAGAATAAAACAGATTTATTTTCAGCAGTGATTAAAACAGGAACAGACAAATGTTGTGGTCGTGCTGATAGTTGTGTCAGATCAGAAAATGTGCAAGGACAAACACCGTGTTTGGCATTTAATTTGGAGAATGTATTATATATATTATGTAGTATTAATAACAGTGAAAGTGGTTGAAGTGAAAGTTAATTCAGTCAGTGTTCAGTGTGAATGAGCTGATTTAACGTGAAAGCTGCTGAGCTGCTCCCAGGGGCCCGCTTTGCTGTGTGTGTGTGTGTGTGTGTGTGTGTGTGTGTGTGTGTGTGTGTGTCACAGAGGGACCGCAGCCAAATTGACTCCATATGTCTGTCTATTAATTGTGTGTCAGCAGAGGAAAGCCCCAGTGTGTTCCTCTGGGAAATGACACTGTGATTAACATTTCTTCGGCGAAACAATCGACCCCTAAACAGAGTGAGCACGACGTGAGGCAGCATGTGGGAGAGTTAGAGGGTGACATAATCCACCGTCAAAGTCAACAGCAGCTTCTACAGGGGCCGCGACTCCTCCTATAATTTAATTAACCAGAAGAGAAGTTCAAAGCCGTGACAGAGTGAGGTGTATTGGAAGATAAACCCTCTGTGATCCAGGTTATCCATCTGTTTTTGTAGTGGAGTGGCTCTACTACCAGGGGGGGGTTGCCTGCCTGTGCACTCTGTCCTCTATACAGTATATATGAATGAACAAGGAGACCCAGAGCAGTGCTTTTTAAATTGAATAACTAATCATTTCATTAATCGCTAATTAAAGGAATGATTAGCAATTACAAAGACATACAGGAAATAGATTACCTTTTACCTTTAGCTCAGTTTTACTGCTGTTATACTGCTGCTGCCAATGAACATTCTGTCACTGTATATTTCCTTTACTGCATACGCCAAATAATGTATACTCGTCTCCTGTGTCTTCCATCACCACTTTGACAACGCATGTAGCATTTAGGTAAAATATATGCAAATAAATTAACACATTCAAAAGAACTGTACCCCTAACCCTAACCATCAGCAATTTGCCAACACATATAGACCATTGTCAAAATATGTTGTTCAAGTTTTCTGATCTGACAGATGTCATTTGTCAGTATTGTTGCAAAAGGCTGCTACAAAAATGTTGGGTATCATTTGGGTTTTTCTGATAGCAATGCTAAACGGTACCTGAGCTGATACTATAAAAAAAGTAGCACAAATGACTGAATGAATTTGAACTTGAAACTGACAGTATATTAACTGTTAACAGTTTAAAGTATACTTTATTCATTTATATAAGTAAATACCAAACCCTTAAATTTACACAACAAATTCATCTAATAAATAAAACCTAACCCAATCACAATAAATTAACACTAAATAAGTACTAATAACAGCAAGATTGTATTCTTATTTTGAAGAGATATTATAATATTTATATTAACCTGAGCAAAGGCTGCTGTCGTCATCATCAATGGTCTCTAAATGGCAAGTCATTATGACACATCATATCTAGTGATTTATATCTCTGTGCCACATCTCCAGGGCCAGGGTGGCCCACACGCTGGGGTTAGCTACTAGCTACATAGGCAACCTGCTGCCAGAGCAATGTATGTGTTGCTGTAATGTTAACTTGCGATGGCACACGTGTGCTGGTGCCTCTATTGCCTGTAAGGTCCTCACTGGAGGGCAACTATCTCAAAAGACAGCTCTCAGTCTGGTAGATACCAGTCTTATAGGAACCAACGCCATATTGGAAACGTATTTTGGTACCCAATGCTATTTATATGACTGTTTTCAGATCTGTTACCCTTACTGACTGTGGTTAAAAGAAACCAGCGTTGACTGTTGGCAGAAAATGTGAAACAAACAGAGGTCTTCCACATCCAAAATGATGTGCTTTGTTGACTTGATAACCATCCACCCAAACTTCTGCCCAAATACTTCCACTAAATTCACATCGTCATTAGAGACTGATAGAGTCAGGCCATGAACACAGGTGATATTTTAACCTCATGAGGCAGTTGGACTTGAGAATTCATCTTGTCAGGCTTCAAGCCTTGTGTCCAAGCACAGTGGTTTGGACCCATCAGCGTCCTTTGAGGAACTACTGGCAGCTATAGCATAAGCTAGGGTGGTTTAATGCTAGGTGTGTGAGAGAAGTGAGTGTTAGCTTGAAAAAAATAATGGTGTCAATTTCTTCATCGACAGAAGAGCAAAGAACGGCACTAAAGGCTTTTCTCCATGGAAAAAAATGTTTCTCTCTTCTGCTGACTGTATACAGTAAGAGATTGACTACGCTATATGGTTCATTGATCTCATTGGTGGAATATATATATGCTGATAGATGGTTTATCACCTGCGTATTGTATTTTTTTTAAAGTGCCTGCCCTTTTATATAGCTACCAACACGGGTGCTTATGGTTTTTAAAATTTTTTTAAAAAAATTTTTTTTTTTAAATTTTTTTTTTTATTTGTTAATTTTTCTGCCCAAACATTCTCAGAAGTGAGAATCTGGTTATGAAATAGTAAACATTTTTTTTTCCATTTTTGTTGATTGTGATCATTACAGCGCTTTGCTTTGTGGGACACAGATGCATACTGGAAATTTCTTTCTACTGTGTGCATACTACATGTTAGATTTTAGTCGGTCAGTACGTACTGCTAGTATTAGGCCGTTTCAAATAAAGATTCACTCATCTCTAGAAACATTTTTGAATAAGCTGATGTCTATATTCATATAGACATCAGGTTGTAATATTCCTCCACTTCTTATATTACTATACTTCTTAAAATAATGTTTGAATGTAATGAACAGATGATTAAGTGGTGATATTTGCAGTGTGTTTCTCACCCTAAGGAATAATATATAAGCATAATAGAATACTATATATTGCTGTGGTAGTCATTACCTGATGATGACTCAATGGAGCATCTATAGTGAAACCTCTTTTGATTTACAGCAGCTCCACATCACTGCTTACAAGTGTGTGTGTGTGTGTGTGTGTGTGTGTGTGTGTGTGTGTGTGTGCGTGCGTGCGTGCGTGCGTGTTGGCTGGTTGTATGATTTATTAATGTCCCGTTGAGAGGGTTATAAATCTGCAATATGCTTTCCCCCACAGAGCCATTAACAGACAATAGACAATTGATTCAGTGTAAATCCCTACTTAACCTGCACAGTGTCACGGCACAGGCTATGGTCTGCTGTTGCCGAGACAAACATGTCAAGACCTGCAACGTGTTGATCAGCAGACAGAGCGTTTTAAGCTTCACACAAAAACCTACAGAAGTGCCAGTCTGCAGACTGATGATTTCCCCTCCCTCTCCCTCCCCCTTAAAGCTGGAGGTTCCTGTCAGGGCACAGTTTTTCTTCTTCTCTAGAATTAGAGCTACAGTAATAAAGGACAGTGCTGTTGGTGTGTTAATCTGTGGGTGTGCCATTTCCTGGTAATTCCTTAAAATGTATCTTAACTAAATTTAAACAGCAGTAAAAAACTGATTTGGATTCAGTCTGTATCCATAAAGTTAAATTTGAAGTAATAAATGAACACATCATCTGTGTTTTTGATGGAACTTCTGAAAAAGTCATATACATTATATTCTGTGTACGTATGTAATGGACAGTAGTTTGTCAGCTTTCTGAATGAAATTGATTTATCTCAGTTAAAGATATAATTTATAGTTGCCAGCAGGGGTGTGTCCAGACGCATTGGTACCAACCATACCATGCTAGCATGTGCAGAAGGGGGCTAATTAATTCTCCAAAGTTAAGCTGAATGTTGGTAACAGAGAAAGTGACATGGCCATTTTCAAAGGGATCCCTTGACCTCTAACCTCAAGATATCTGAATAAAAATTGCTTCTATGAATACTCCGCTTGGCAGACATCCCCACTTTATGCTAATTACATGCAGGTTTTTTTGCATGGGTATTCAAATATTCCTGCATACTGGGGTTCATAAACAGTGTTGGAATGGTATAAATTTGGAATGACTGGAAAGGTCAAACACATACTTCATGCCCCCTCTGCATAAGTCAGTGCTACCCTATTAAAAAAGTCTGGACATGCCCCTGGTTGCCAGAAAGCTCAACAGATGTAAGAGCAATGTAAGAGATCACATATGACAACTGCGTAGAGGGGGTGGGCCAATGGCATCAAAGCTTCAGTTAACATTGTTGTAATAACCAGAGTATAATAGTCCAATAGTGACATGTAGCGGTGTAGTTGGGAGAAATTACGGTGGCTGCGAAAAAGTTGTGTGTGTTATGGTGTGTTTGGTTGTCTGTTCTGGGCTACTGTAGAAACATGGTGGCTCAACATGGCGGATTCTAATAAAGGCGACCCACTCCCTCTGTAGATAAAAACTGCTCATTCTAATGTAATAAAAACTCTCCTTCATTCAGGTGATTATAAACTAATGAAAACATTCAATTCAATTCAATTCAATTTTATTTGTATAGCTCAAATTCATGACAGAAGTTATCTCAGGACACTTTTCAAATAGAGCAGGTCTAGACCGAACACTTTATAACATTAATTACAGAGACCCAACAGTACCACCATGAGCAAGCACTTGGCGACAAGGGCAAGGAAAAACTGCCTGTTAAAAGGCAGAAACCTAGGACAGATCCTTCGGCTCTAGGTGGGTGGTCGTCTGCCTCGACATACCTATGACTATTCCATTTCTGCCAATAGATCCTCTAAATGTTACACACTGGACCTTTAAAATGTTTTTCACATCTTAAGAAACCTAATTATAACATATTAAAATGCTAAAACCTAGCGTGTACTGTAAAGATGGAAAGATCTTCCATAAAAAGACATGTTTTTGGCTTAAGATACTCTTCATCTCCTCTAACCTGTGTTCCCTGCTGTACTCCTTCCTCTCCTCTTGCATGTGCTTGATCAGTGTTGCTTCTTCAGTTCATTGTGGTTAAACTTTAAAATGATTTAAAAATCATTTTAGAATAAATATAGCTCAGTTAAAGAATCCCTGAAAACCTTTTTATCTACTTTCCGTGTGTGTGTGTTTGTGTGTAGGTCACAGTGGCGTAAACCAGCTGGGAGGTGTGTTTGTGAATGGGAGGCCTTTACCTGATTCTACCAGGCAGAAGATAGTGGAGCTGGCACACAGTGGAGCTCGACCCTGTGACATATCCAGAATACTACAGGTAAACTCATCATGCTGAGGAGTGGCCCCTCAGGTACTAGTCAAGTTATTTTATATAGTATGTTTAAAAGAACCAGAGTTGGCCAAAGTGCTGTATGGCATAACAACAGTGAGCTAAATTAAGTTCTAAAAAGAATTTACAAATGAAATATTAATCCATCAGTAAGTATATCATTTAAAAATACATTAAGGAATTCAGAAATAAATAATGGGATTTAAATATCTATTTGAAAATGCCATTTTAAAATAAATAAATAATAATAAACTAGATTCACAAATTGAATTAAGAATACATATCTTCGTCAGGTATTGAAATGGCAATTTCGTTTTACATTTGCATTTCCTTACTGCTTTTCATTTAGCGTATTCTTTTAGTCTCTCTGTGACGCTTTGAGCCGTAAAACAATGCATATGCACTTTTTCTAACTACACCTCAAGATTTAAAAAAAAAAACATGTCAATCAAACATGTCATCCTTAGCCCCACCCAATGGTGTAAGTGACATCACTTGAGGTAATTTATCAGATTTTGCACAGCTCCCTGAGCCACAAAGGAATTTAAACAAAATGTTTCACATAAGCAGTAGTTCTCCCCAACACCTGTAACCAGACTAGAGTTTTGATTCTTTACCCAAATCCACTGTCACAGATCGGGCTCGGGTTAGGCTCGGACACAAAATTCGATTTATAAATGTAATTAATAAGTGAATTTGTTACTAGTTTTGATAATAATTTGCACTAAATTATATGCACAATGTAGTTTACTTTAGCATTTAATAAACAATTTTTATATTATTTTATAAGTTATTTATTTATTTTAAGCAGAAATTCCGGTTCGTGTCGGGCTTAGGCCCAAAACTGCTTCCATTGTTCAGGCTCGGTTTGGGCTCGCACAGAATGTTTCCGTTTGACCATTGTTGTGATTGTTCCACAGATCATCTACCAAACAGACACTTTTTGGATACCATTTTTTTTTACCCCCAGCCCCAATAACCTGTGTGATGTGTGCTGTTTTTGTGTCCAGGTGTCTAACGGCTGTGTGAGCAAGATCTTGGGCAGGTACTACGAGACAGGTTCAATCCGTCCTCGGGCCATAGGAGGGAGTAAACCCAGGGTGGCTACTCCAGAGGTGGTGGGAAAGATCGCTCAGTACAAGAGAGAGTGTCCGTCCATTTTCGCCTGGGAGATCAGAGACCGACTGCTGGCAGAGGGAGTCTGCACCAACGACAATATACCCAGTGTAAGACTCTTCTATTCTTTAACCAAGTCAGTCAGAGATTTGGGCAAGGCAAGCTAGCCACACATCTAGACTAGTAGGACAAACCTTGTACATGATAGCTAATGTAGTTGTTGCACTGACACAGCAGGCTTGCAGGTGGGCTTGGTACTAATAGTTTGTGGTAGTGAGCAGGTGTGGCACAGTCCTAAAAAACATACAGAACCCTTGATAGTGATCGTATTTAAACTGCATAAAGTCCATACAGGTGTGTACCAAACTATACAGTAAAATTTAAATCAAACAGGAAATTGACATTTGGTGAAAAGATACTTAAGATCTGTGGAATTTTACAATTTTCTACTTTTCCTTGCAATCGTATGCCTGGCAACCAAAACTCATCTCAACTGCAATGGCAAAAGCATTCTTTTTTTTCTGTCTCTGTCTTGACTACTCCTGGACTCGACAAAGGTGGTCTTGACCACAGCACTGGTGAAACATTTACTCTTTAGTCAAGTTTAGGATCAAAAGTTAAGCTAAGTGAACTTGTGTAGCCTATGTTACTTAAAATAAGTCAATACTGACTTTTGGTTTCACACTTATAGGTGTGTTTGTTCCATCTACCCCACCATGACACCATAAAACCGTTAACGTTACCCAGCGACATGAATGTAACAGACCTCAATAGGACCTCTGTAGAGCTTCTTTAAATAGACATTCTGAGGCTGGCTGAAGGTTGACACTGGGTCATTTATGCTTTCGGTCAGATTTGACAATGTTTTGTTCCTTAGATTCAGTCCACATAAGTATATCCGGATTTACATATCCGACTAAATAGCTGCTCTTGTGTAATCACGTTGTTGTGTTTATCACCAGGTTTCATCAATTAATCGAGTGCTGAGAAACCTGGCCAGTGACAAGCAGCAAATGGGCACAGTGGGAGCTGAGGGGATGTTTGACAAACTCAAGATGCTCAATGGACAAACCACCTGGGGAGGACGCTCAGGGTGGTACGCTGGGACTACACTCACTACCACTGGTAAGACACTATTAATAACTTAATAATAAATACACTTAAAGCTGCAGTAGGTAACTTTTATAACAATAACTTTTTGTCACTATCTTGACTGAGAATTTTCACTATATCCTGACAGTAGTACATGAGACAGATAATCTGTGAAAAATCAGCTTCCTCTGGCTCCTCCTAGTGCTCCTAATGGCCTCTGCAAGAATCCACCGGGCCTGAACGAAAACAACCAATCTGATTTTTTTTACAGATCACACGTACACATATGTGTCTCTATGTGCTGGTCAGTGTCATTGCTTTAAATTATTCTTTTCTTTTTTTAATTAGCAGCTATAGTAGATTTCCCACATGCAAAATTTACCCCAAATTCATGGAGCAGAGGACACATTGCACATAGAGTTGACACAAGCAGCTTCCTTTTCTTTTCCTTTATTGAGTGTGTGTGTGTGTGTGTGTGTGTGTGTGTGTGTGTGGCTGAGGGCCCCATTTGCTGCATGGAGTAGACTCATATGCTGCTGCTCCTCCTCCAGCGTCCTGGGATTACAACAGTGAAACGAAGTCATGCTATACTACCACGGCTGCTGCCTCCTCATCAGTCTACAGCATGTTTGTGCCTGTGTGTGTGTGTGTGTGTGTGTGTGTGTGAGGGGAGGGAGAAGGGGCGTCTGCTCTCATTTGTGTCTCTTTCTGCCTGACTGACTGTGACACTGAGCAATGGCTTCATTCTGTTTTGCAGTCTCTGTCTGCTGGGGATAATGAATAATTAGGCTAGCACCACAAATAACATGAGTTCCACGGGGAGCTGGAGTCAAGCTCCCGTCTGCTTGGAGATCACATGATCCAAGTGCCCTGTGCCTTCACTCATCTTCACCTCACATGCATGGTTTAATATAATGGACTATATTGTCTACTACGATCAAGGCTTGGCTTTTAGTGAAGTACTGTATACGGCAGGGGTTGGTGTTGATTTTGCTAATATCAGGGTTCCTACGCGTCCTGGAAAACCTGGATATATTAGGGATTAGTTTTCCAGTCATGGGGTCACCTGGAAATTGATTAAAGCAGTGGTTCCCAACATTTTTCCTAAAGGGACCCCTTTTATACCATTGAGTAAACTGACGACCCCTGACTAAGTGACATTTTCTATGGATATTTCATATTACATACCTGATAACTGTACAAAGAACCCAAACAGTGAACACACTAACTGCAAGAAGTTTGAGTAAAAACAGCAATTTGGATGATTTTCTGAATTGGTGATATACATTATATCTATGCAAACAATTTCATTTACTTTTCTTCACAGAAATTCGGAGATATATATTTTTAAAAGCAAATATTTGTAAAGTGTTCTTACACCCCTTAAAGGCCTCACGGTTTTTCTTGACAATACAGGACAACAATTGTTCACAATAGTGGTCAGCATTTATGGGACACGTAGCTTGCCTTAGCTTGGTTTTTTGGCCCGCTCTGCTATTCTCAGCACAGCCGATTTTTCCACATATGAAAGTGGCCTAAATCAGAATTGAAAAGAAAATCCGATGTGAGTCACATACACTGACAGTAAATCACATATGAGCAAAAAAATCTGATTTGGGTCAACCCTAACCCTAACCCTAACCCTACAGCTGCAAAGCAGCACGCATATCAAACGTACTAATCACTGTGATTCATACATGTAAACTTGAACCTAACCAAAACTCCAGAAGATTTAAGTATGTAGTCCTTTTCTCTTCAGCAGCATTTAACCTTTTAACTAACCTTTTAACATTTTAGTTGCCTTAACTTACTGTTGATTTTAGTCGGCTACAATCCTATGATATTTAGTCAATCAAAACATTTCAGATGGCTAAAATATGACTACAGCTAAATCAAAAATTGCTTTCAAAAACACCTGCTCATAGGGGAATAGTGCTATTTTTACTCACCATAAGATATGAAAACTTCTTCGACCCCAGCTGATGGTGTTTACAAGCTTAACAGTGACTGGTCTTAAACCACAGTATTTGTTTGTTCCTTCCTTCCTTTTCACTACTTCCTTCCTTCCTTTCTTCCTTCCTTCCTTCCTTGGTGCAGAGTGTCCACAGGCTGAAGGAGGGGAAAACACCATATCAGTTAGTTCCAATGGTGAGGACACAGAGGAAACTCAGATGAGGCTTCAGCTGAAGAGGAAACTGCAAAGAAACAGAACGTCTTTCACACAGGACCAGATAGAAGCACTGGAGAAAGGTACAGCATACGTACATTTACAATGTATGGGTGAAGAATAACCGCTGTGCAGGGCTGTTTCCTGTGTTAATCTGTATTCTGCATGTGACTTAAGTGTGGAAAACAGCCACTTTACCCCGACTGAGCGGGGTCCGATTCACAATGTACCAATCAGACAATTATAAGACATGGCCTTCTTCTCAATAGCGTGCTTGTGTGTTTCTGTAGGTCATATAGAGGCATCACTATTAAATTGAGACTGTTTCATAATTAGTATAAGTTAAAAACTCCTTGTAGTACGTTTAAGGCAAACTTTTAAAATGTCTCCATAACAGATTTCCACACTAAAAATCGAGACCAGTAACAGCTCAGCCAGGTTTTAATTCATCCAATCAGGAATGGTCCATGTTGATGTCTCAGTGAAGAGGAGAATCATCAGCCATGTCCTTTCTACTGTCACCTAGCACATGTTGTCGTGTGTTGCTGTTTAGCCAACTGTCATACAGTAGCCTAATATTAATCATTATGGATGTTTAGTCGGCTGTCATGTAATTTATGTTGTTGATGATTGCATGAACTCGAAAACATGCTTTTTGTTGTGGAAATTTCTTCTAAACCAACCAGTTGTTAATCATGCAAACATTTGCTGATTGGTCTCGGCTGACTGGGTTGAACTAATTTACAGCAGATGTTTTTCAGACTTCAATCATCTCACTTTCTGCAGGAAAGCATATTTCCGGGATATCGAACCATTCTTTTAATCACTATTATCTATAAAGATCCAATGCATTAATAAAGCCCTGGAACAGATACAGGACACCAGTGTATAGGATTTAGTGGCATCTAATGGAGAAGTTGCAGATTTGAACTAACTGAACACCACTTGTGTCCATATTTGACGACCTGGGAAAGACAATGGGATGTATGTGTGTAGGAGAAACTACATTGGCCACTAAAGGAGTAAAGGAGTCACACTAATGAAAAAATGATTACTATTTCTGCCAATAGAGCCTCCAAAATGTTACACACTGGACATCCAGAAATTATTCATAGGAGTAGCATAACAGGATCTACACCCAGAATTTTATTATACAACCTTGCTTGTAAAATTATATATATATATATATTATATATCCTTGTATCCTTGCATATTTTGAAGCATGGGGCTGCTGACCAAGTGGCAATATTTCATGAGTTGGGAGTGAGAACGACTGCAATTAGACACATCACAACTTATGTTACCATGTAAGGACACCATTTGTTTTTGTTCCAGAATTTGAAAGGACTCACTATCCAGATGTGTTTGCCCGAGAACGCCTTGCCAACAAAATAGACCTTCCAGAGGCAAGAATACAGGTAGGCTCTGTTATTTGTTGTTTTTTTAGGCTTAGTGTGTGTGTTTTTGTTAAATAACAACATTATTAATATGCAATTAGTGATGATCAGTCAAGAATAGGTTCACATATTTTCAAATCTAATACTGACCTGTCCATGGTTGCTGTAATTGTTCCTCTGTCCACATTGGCTGTCAAGAGATCCCTTTTTTTTATTTAAGTGACAAAATCCACATTCATTGTTCTGAATAAATTCCTTAAGCAGTGTGAGCTAGACAAAGGCATAGATATCTTGCAAAGTTACACTCTCTTTAGAACAAATCAAAATAACTTTTTTTAAATTTGTTTTTGTACAGAACAAAGGCACAAAAACATTTTGTCTCCCATCACTGAAATTTCTATAAGAAGGGATCTCTTCACAGCTACTGTGGACAGGAAGAACAGTTACTGCAACCGGAGTCATGTTTTAAGATTGATAACCTCTATAACAACCGATGTTTTTTTCTATTCTGTCATGTGCAGGTTTGGTTTTCCAACAGACGAGCAAAGTGGAGAAGGGAGGAGAAGTTGAGAAATCAACGTCGTCAGGTGTCCAGCTCCTCCAGCCATATTCCCATCAGCAGCAGCTTCAATGCCAGTGTTTACCAGCCTCTACCACAACCTACTACACCAGGTATTGACAAGGACATTTACCACAAGCACACTACCAATCAAAAGTTTGAAAGGACTACTCTATATTTCGGAATGGTGAACCAGACTAACTAAGGACTTACATAGGTGGTTGTGAGCAGTAGGATTGAACCACTAAGCCTACAATTAATAAAATACCTGCTCACCTGAGCTCAGGGAGAGTATCACAATTTGAGATTTACTTGCAAGCAGTAACTTGGACCAACTATGTCTCTGTCTGTAATAGATTGTATTTTAAGATAGACTGCCTGGGATATAGGGGTGTAAGAAAATATCCATACATATGAGTATCACAATATTTTGTTTTGTGAGATTCTATCAATTCTCAAAAAAACACCATACATTTTTAATCGCTATATAGTAATCTATCGCATGGCTTACAATATCGCAAAATATCGTAATATATTCAATGTAACCCCTGTATCATGATATGTAACATATCGCCAGATTCTTGCCAATACACAGCCCTAATACTGTACAAATCTCTTTGTTCTCTGCATTTTCTCATCCCTGTCTCTCCAGTGTCCTTCTCATCAGGATCCATGTTGGGAAGGTCAGATCCAGTTCTGTCCAACAGCTACAGCCTACCAACCATGCCCAGCTTCAGTATGGCTGCGAGTCTGCCTATGCAAGTAAGATGATTTCATGAATACCTTGAAGTTAGAGATACCATCTTTGTGTGTCAGTATCTGACTTCAGCTTCAGACTTCAAATAACCTTGATAGTTATAAGGCCTTAGCATCACTGTTTATCTTGCATGACACATACCCAATGGTGAATCACTCATCCTGATGTTAAATTCTGCTTTTAATGGGTAATATTATTTTATGTTTCCAGGCTTCCAGCCAGACATCTTACTCATGCATGCTGCCCACCAGCCCCACTGTAAATGGAAGAAGTTATGATACATATACCCCTCCACACATGCAGCCACACATCAACAGCCAGTCAATGACTTCCTCTGCAACGTCGTCAACAGGTAGGAAGTTGCTCACTGGCTACTGTTTGATACTCTACATACCGTCTTCTCCCCTCTACCTGCACGGACAGAATGCATGTTGACTTTTTAAATGAGAAATGAGTGACAGAAATCTATACTGATTTTCAATTTTGTATCCAGTTCCATCTAGTATCAAACATGGCATCTTGGGTTTGAATATTTCACAGATTGTAAAAATGATATTCTTGGACTAATAAAATTGTGTAAACTTATTTTAAAGGGTAAGTGACTAATGGGGGACAACAAGTTTTCAATTTGGTCCAGTATTGAGTAATAGTGCTGCATCCTGCAGCCGCAAAATGGATTACAACGCAATATGGGCAATTACGCATCCTCAAAGTACATTCATTAAAAGTGTTGTTTTTGCTACTGACTGGCTCAGATTGTTTTTATAAGTGTCTGACAACAAGACCTTACAGAGAAATTAAATATTTTCTGTTCCTTTCGCTTGATCCACTGTGTTTCTAACCAAGTCTTGCTCAAGGAGAAGTCTTGTCAAGATTGTTCAATTGCCCGCAAGGATTATATGATTCAGGCTTTTTTGTGCCATGTTCTGGACCGTTTCATCAAATGGAAATATTGTAAATGTGTTTTTATTATTTGCTATGTTTGGTATTTTTGGAAACCTTGGAATCTGTACTAGTGTGGGTTTGGACAATGTTCAGCTGTACCATCTTTGTAAATATTGACTGTCCAATGTCGGGCTGTAGCCCTAGTTTTTGCGGGGTGTTCTGAACCATCATCCCTTGTCATCCCTCATCTGTGGTTTTTATGGCCAACTGAGCATCTTGAATCGGCTTTAACAAATCAGTACACAAAAAGAGAAAAGCAGGTGGGGGAAACAAACAACTTTGCCAAAAGAGCACACATGAAAGCATAATCTAATTTTTTATCTTATCCCATATGATCACTCAAATATACAGATATTTTAACAGCTGTTTCATAAATCCATCTGAGTGAGAGCAGGCAAACCTACAACCATAGGGCTGCTTCTGTTTTTATCCGCTGTTCATTTTTGAAGGACGAATGCAGACTACTGCCACCTGCTGTTATAGAAAGTTATCACCTCTCGCGCAGGCGCACAGCGTACAGTATATGCTAGTTTATTTACTGTAGTCGGTGTAGTGTGTTCTAGCGTCACTTTTTGGCCACAATATAGGCGACATGAGGCAACGCAACAGTTGACTTTTGTCGCAGCTTCTTCTTTGATGTCGGATTTGGTGTGCCATGTCTTTGTTATAACTGTACTCTAATGACCTCTTTGTTGTCCTGTTACCAGGTCTGATTTCCCCTGGTGTCTCAGTTCCAGTCCAAGTTCCAGGAGGTGAAGCGGACATGTCACAGTACTGGCCACGCCTGCAGTGATGTCATTTCTCGCGGCAATCGTTGTTGCCTGTGGTGACCTTCAACTGGACTGTGTGGGACATCAGACCCTGACCTATCCCTACTTTACAGCTTGAATGTCAAAAAGGACCTGTCATTGACTGAAACAGACTGTACTGCAACAAATGAATATGAAGAAATTGCTCTCATTATTGAGTGTGAGAAAACCAAATTCTGGAGAAAAGCAGGACAGAAAAAGGTTTGAGAACTCTTCCAGTTAAAGGATTTTAATATTACTGTAAACCAGTGCAGGTTTGGCTGCAACTGGATCAAAGTTCTTGGGGAGTTCTCTCTCCACATCATCTCCATCAGCTGCCATTCAAAGTCTGGCAGGGGAGGACACTCTGGCAGTAGCCCAGAATGAAAAGCTCTAGCCTGAGCTGTACTCAGGGAGCTCAGGAAGCTGGACCGTCCTTTGGCAACAATAAACTCCAGACAGGAATAAACTGCTCAGTGTCCATTTGGACACTCTTTGGGAAGACATATTACCTCCACTTTCAGTTCCTAATTTATATCATGTTGGTGTATTTGTAGTTGACTGAAACATAAAGGGACAAACTTAATGAAACTTGAACTTAGCTGTCTGCTGTGAATTTGTTTCATCAGCAGGTTCCAAAAGCACCGCCCTGGAATGTGTATAGAGTTTCGGAATGTGGATTCTGGTGAAACGTGTTTGGTATTGTAAAAACCTCGACCTGGATGTGATCTGCTAACTGGCATGGAGTGAAAACCTGTCTGTTTGGGTGGCTAAATCTCAGTTTGTTTTAATTCCAAAGCTCCTATGTCCAGAAATTCAATAGTAAACCAACTATTGAAAGACTGAAAGCAGAACAAACACTTGCGCTTATAAAAAAGTGAACATTCGATTGTGTCTGGGATGTAAATCTGTTTCTAATTTCAAAGTGTAAAGTATTTGTCCTCTCCAGTGATCTGAGAGGGTTTCCATAATAAAGTTATTTCAATTATATTCCTTTTTAGGTTCTACAGTATGTTATCAATGTATTTATAGCGTGTTTTTTTTATTTGTGCACCTGAACCAGAACCCTTACAGCTGCATTAAAAAATTAATTGCAGTGGAATCTAGTCTCCATCCCTCTAGCAGGGGTGTTTCCAGAGGGGTGAACTGGGGTGTGACTGGCCACCCCATTTTCCCAACCTCTTCCACTCCACACTGTCTTTCAGAGGCTGTAGCAGGCTCTGCTTTGAAGCTATAGTGAATATAATGGTATCATATGAAACTAGATACATCCATTCATACCAGCCATGTCATGCTAGCATATTGGGAAGAGAGCTAAATAATGCGTCACATTTTGGCGATGGAAGAACAGGCATTTTCAAAGGGATCCCTTGACCTCTGATAATATTTGAGTAATACTGACCAATCACATTTGAGCAAGCTTTGGTTGCATGCAGGTAAACAGTCCATGTGGAGAGCAAAAGAAGTACAACGCAATGGCTGAAATGCAATCTCAGAACCCATCAACTATCGATTGACGTCGAATTAGCTTTTTATCACAGGAATCGGTGCTGTAGTCCAGACCACCTTTATCGAGTCCAAGACAAGTCCAAGACCAGGACTAGTCGAAAATCGAGTCCAAATGAGAGAGATAGAGTCAAGACCAAGACAGAAAAAAAGAATGCTTTTGCTTTTGCCAATGAGATTAATTTTGGACTGCAGAGGAAGTTTTGCCTGTACACCCGTTTTCCGGATATTTGCCCAGAAGCCCAGAAACAATTGGCCCCCACAGGCTAAATTGTCATCAACAAGTTGATGGGTTCTGAGATTCCTACTAAATTGTCCTGGTTTTTACCACAATAATAATAAATAATAATTATAATAGAATGCTTGTTTTCAGCACTTAAATAGAAGTTTCTCATGTTCTGTTATTACCTAACCCAATATAAAAAACAATGTATCACGTATCGGAATTCAACAGTGATTTCAATCAATCAATGTCTGAAAGTGACATAACAGAAATTATTCAGTATGTGAACCATACATAACCCCCCAGACTGGCTTGCAAGCTAGAGGTAGGTGACCCTGCTGTCATAAAGCAGAGCTGCTCTACACAGTAGAGAAAAAACTTTATTTAATCTGGTTTATTTTAGCCAACACTGACCCATTAACATATGTCGGATTGGCACTTTTTTGTTTGAACTGCTTTACACTGATGAACTATATGCTAACATGCATATGTGTTACCATGATTAACAAATTATTGTCGCCTTCATGGCAGTTCCAATGATCAGCAGGTGGATTGCATACATTTATTGTTAGCCCTGGTTTGGCTTTTGAAACCATACTGATGTCACACGCCTAATATTTCACAATCCTGTGATCGGGCTCCTTTGAGCTTGGACCATAAATTAAACACCCCAGGGCTTGCTTGGAAGTGGACCTAGACCTTTCTTTTCAGGTAGACTTGGTGCAGTTGTGTGGTTTGAATATCATTGTTCATACTGGTCTAAATAAGCTGAACCAAACAGGAAATTGAACTAAATTCCACGTAGACATGGCTTTCTGTACGTGTTAGATCTATGGTAGACTGACAACCTGTCCTGGGTATACCCTGCCTCTCACCCAATGTGTTTTGGGATGGATGCTAACCAGCTGCATTGATAGGACTGTACATCACCAACTATACATCTATCTTCAGGCCTCCCCATGCTGATGTACAGTACAGTGTCAGCAGCATCTGCTCTTACATACAACACTGCATAAAAGGATGGCAATATTGCACAATACAAAACTTGTACTGGATACAGATTAAACAAAGGGGTCTTAGGATGTCCCATCAATATTCCCATTTTTACTGACAAATTTGATAGCAAAGACCGTAGGAAGCTGCTGCAACAGGATAAAGTCCTTGGCTCTCTCTTTGCCTCTTTGGGGAGTTGATGACTTTTGAAACTTGTCGAAACTGTGTATGTAGGGTTTAGTGTCATCTAGCAGTATAGTTGCAGCTGACTCACTTCACCCTCCCCTTCCAAACACAAAGGAGAAACTATACGGGTGTAAAAAAACGTTTTGTTTTCTGAAACCTTTCTAAAACTTGGTCACAGCATTGTTACATCAAAAACTAATTTTCACATTGCATTTTTCATACAATTCTACACATAGTATTCAGAATTTATATTGAACAACAGTTCAATTAAAGGTCACATATCATGCAAAATACACTTTTTCATAGCTTTTCAACTTAAATATGTGGCTTCATTCACTCAATCAAATATTGTCTCTAAACAATCATATATATCAATATTTGCAACATATTTGAAATGGAAAACATTATTGTGGCACATTAGTAAAGCATTGCATAGAAATATTTAAAGGTGGCATTAGAAATTAATACATTGTTTAGTTTATTTTCCAAATACATGTCTTTTTTCATTGGACTTAATGGATTAGTCTAAAATGAGGCCATAACAGATCATTACATTAATTTCTGCTTTTTAACAATGTATTTTCTAATTTTCTAAATTAATTAAGCATTTGACACCAAGTTCCAGTGGCCGTGGCCAAGCATTATTTAGGGGTGGCAATTAGAGTAAAATAGACGATAAAGCGGGGTATGCATTCGGGCATGGCTACCTTGTGACAGGTCATTCTCAGTGAGTCCATCAAAACAGTACTTCATAAACCAACAGGTGATGTCACTCTAGGCTGATTTGTACGCAGGCGCATGTTGTTCTTCTGTGGTATTGAGTTTACACCACCGTGCACAGGGATCCGCCATTTTTGCGAACCCCTGGGATGGGTTTTACTTCCATTTGTCACCAATATGTATTTACTACCAACTGTCTACAGTACATTGTCAATCAGTAATCTATCATGTCTTAAAATTAAATTTGTTTTTTTAGTTGCAAATTTCTGGATGTGATTTCAAAACTTTATGTGACGACAAAAAAGAAGAAACTGCCAATGAACTGGCAAATGGCATTCACTGAGAATAATGCAATATTAGCACACACAGATAATAGGTACACCCAAATTTCATACACTGCAAATTCAGAAGTGAGGCATTATTGAATAGAAAAAAAAAAAACTATTCATTGGCTCTCTCCCTGTTTCATTCATTCATTCAGCCAGTCATTTCTTTCTGTCTTCCATCGGCCAGCGGGTGGCTGCAAAATGAGAATGGGGTCAACCTCTCCTCATTTACCTAACAAAAGACTGGAAAAAAGAGTGAGAGAAAGAGGAGCTGACGGCTGTCACCGAGAGAAAGAGAGAGGGGATCCAAGACAGATGACCTGCAGCTTCAATCTGAAAAGTTTCATTCCATTACATCTCACACAATCCACATCATGTCAGCACCTATCAATTACTGTCTGCATCAAACAGCACAATAGGAACTCTAATCATCAAAGAGCATTTGGGTGGTGATCAATGATGGCTTCCTACTGCTGAAACAAGAGTGATGACAAGATCATTAGGTTATTCTGGTCATAACGGGACCATGATTGTATGTGTGTGTGTGTGTGTGTGTGTGTGTGTGTGTGTGTGTGTGTGTGTGTGTGTGTGTGGTGTGTGTGTGAATGCAAGGTGATGCACCACACCCTGCAGAGAAAAAGGCTTTTGAACACTGCATTCAGCCTCTCTAACTACATCCACACTTCTTCTCTTTCAGCTCACTTTGGAGTTGAATGCAATATAATATATGAAATAGAAATTTTAATTAAACTAGGCACACCCACAGGAAGTACGATTTGAATTGACAAACCCCCGGAATAGCAGCAAGGTTTCTGCTGAAGACTCTTTCGAGAAGAATGATGGCAGTAAACGCCAGGAGGATGGGGTGGATGAATGGATCAACAAAACATTGGAATTTAACACTACTGCTGTTTGTTTCCTGTTTCAAACCACAATTAAATGTTAATTCTAATATGTAACATTTCCACATTAAAATTCCCATAAACTCTAGCTCTATGTTCTATATGTAGTTGAGTTGTGTGCTGACATTATCCAAAATGTTTCTAACAATGTTCAAACTCAGAGAATTCTGTGTTTCCCCGGTCGCCTGTCAATGGCGTCATATCCCCTTTGTGCCTGCGTCAGCGTTGTGGTTGTCTGTCAGAAGCTTTCAGCTTTTTAGTATATTGTATGTATGTCTTTTTAACATAGATTAGCCTTGCACCTAGCATATCTAAGTACAGGAAAGGAGAAGGTTGACTGAGGTTCTGACTGAGGCTTGCCTCACTGTTATTGGAAAGGAGAGCAAAAAGGGGCGGGACTTAGGAGGGGCCACATGCTGTGGCTCAGGAGGTAGGGCTGGTCGTACACTAATCGTAGGGTTTGCGACCAAAAAAGTTGTTACAACCCTTATTCAACACAACCCTCACCCTTTAACACAACATAAACATAAATAAACTCTAATTCTCTTGGCAGTTTTTATACTTTTTAACAAGGACATTTTCAGTGTTGTTTTCTGAGCGTTCAGCTAGCTATGTGTTTACACAGAGATGCAGTTCCGTGAGCTTTTAGCAGTACCTCACCAGTACTGCTGTATGCAGGGGTTTAGAAAAGACGCGACCCAAACGCTGAACTTTCTAGGGGGGTTGGAGACGTTATTTTTAGATAATTATTTAATTAATTTTATTGTGTACACCTTGGAAAAAATACCTCAGTGACCTCAGGGGTACAGCCATGCTCATCACAGGAAGTGGTACGCAAAAAGGGTTCTCATGTGAACAAAAATCAGAAGAGCTGGAACTCAGTAAGTACGGGTAAGTACAAGGTCCATTTCTGAGAATAGTCAGAGAAATATTACCATATCAAAGAATTCCTTACTTAAAAATATATTTTTTGTGCTCAAAATAATGCACATTAAAATAGATTATGCCTTCTAGAATTACTATAAATACTGAAACAAACAACTTTACAAATGTCACAACACTTTTATCAGGCTACACTGGGAGTGATTAAAGCCTAAGAAAAGAAACATTTTTAAAATGTCAGTAACAATTACAACGGGTAGGTCACTTCACTGGTCATTTGGTTTTTT